GTGAATGGATCCACTTTTGAGGAGTTCTAACAAATTTCCGGAAAGACGAGACTTTAGCAGCTCGTCTTGGACGGATCCGAGAGGAAGCTGCTAACGGAAGGAATGCTGAGGCCTACAGTTTTTCTGGCTCCTGAGGCTCATTCTGGTTTCGGACCATGTGGCGGAATCTGGCAGATCTCACCTTGGACTTGGCCAACCGGTCCAAAAAGGTAGTTGGTGCCGGAGGCGAGCTTGAGTGTGTGTGGCTCACGGATGGTTTGTGCGTGGGAGACGGAATGTCTGTGGGTGAGATGGTTCTTGAGTTAACTATTCAAGAACTGTCTCCACTTTCGAAATGCACCCATTTTGAAGGTAAGAAACAGTCTTGGTCGCAACGGCAAACACATGTTGTAACTCTGAGCCGACGATGCTGGCCAGACGTCTGGGAATGTACCGAGTCAAGAGTCCGATGGTGGAAAGCAGCCTGAATATTCGAGAATAGGCGACCCAGGATTAGGCGCCTTTCAAGTTGTGAAAACAAATGACTACATCATCGCAGCATATGCTGAGAATGACTGGGCTTCGAGGACTGACTTGAGATGACATTGTTGTGGAGACTTTTATTTTGCATGAAAGTGCATGCTGAAAAGATGTATTGTTTCACCGAAAGACGACGCCAAATTCGTGTTCTTCTGCAGCCGTTCGGCGTTTAGTTTGTTGCAGTGCTCCCTCTTTTCGGGTGAAGACGGACTGAGTTTTCCTTCCTCCCACCCGTCGACGGGCCTCCTCGAAGCAGTAAATCATTCTTGCAAATGTTGTAAATAAACACCAAGTCAAGAGCCTTCATGGCGCGAGATTGGCTCGTGTTCACACAAAAAGGTGAAGGATATCTTGCGCATTGTGTCAAAATTGATGTGTTGTTACATCAAAACGGCTGCAGAGCAATGCGGATCAGCCAAATTTCTCTTCACCATACACTTTCATATGAATTTAAAGTTTGCATAACAAGCTAAAAAGATGGGTACATCTCGAGTACACACGAATTTGTGAAGAGTTCTATGGCTTGCTTTGGCAGAACGTTAAGAAATATGGTTCCAGTTTGAAAGCAGGTCCTTGAGATTACCGGTAAATCTGGTACAACAGCAGTATTCGCCCTTTATCTCTTTGAGGTAGGGAAAGCGAATTTATAAAACAATCATGTTGGTGCAATATACTATATCGATATGTTACCAAATAATCGGTTCTTCATAGCCCTAACCAACAAATATGGTGATTAAAACTCTCAAATGAGATCTACTGTAATCTCGGAAACCTACTTAAAAGCGGCAAATAAGTAGTGCTGTCGATTATGCTATAAAATTCAAATTTGCTTCGTCGACAATCCCACCACAGAGTGTGATATACGAAAGACCTTGCACGTCTGTTCGAAATTGTAGTTCACTCCGGCCGGGAAGAGAATAGCTTTTGGGAAGTAAGGCTGAGTGCTAAATTTAATGTAAACGTTAAACGAAAAGGAGGGAATGCAGCACTTTTTTACGGTGCCAGGCCTGAAAAGAGGGCTTTGCGTCGCACTCATTCGAGCCTGCTTTATGGGGCCTGTCCGATGCTTCCTTGAACCAAGATCCATTGACTCATCGCTGTGTCTGTAGGCCGACCGTGAAGTTGATCTTTTTTTTCACCTTTACCCGATCAGCTTTCCTAAGCGGATCTGCATTGTTGCCTTTCAGCTGGCCTCTTTGCCGACCTGAAGGCGGAATTCGCAACCGGCGTCTTCGTGGAGGACCTGCTCTCCTCTGAGACGCGGACGACGCTGCTGAAAGTGGACAGCATCGGCCGAAATTACACGCTGGAATGGGTGAGTACTTGCAGAGACTTAAGGGCCTTCCAACCTTTCCTGTTACTGCCCAGCACTGCACACAATCGTTTTAACAACCACAACTCGATTTTATAGACAATAGTAGCTCGCATCACTTAGGATTTCCTGAAAATGTTTCATTTTTTGTCAGATTTCGCCAATAAACTCTGCACAAAATCTCCAAAAGACGGATTATCGCCACATTTTTAATGAAGCGCATAAAGCCTTGGCAGCATCTGATAAGTATTTGTGCGTCCACTCGTCAACCTCCACAGTTACAATAGTAGCCATTCAAAGCAACTTCTCGGGTGAAACGAAGCGAAGCAAAAATCTCTTTTTTATCGATATATATTTCTAGATTTAACCGAGTTTCGTGTTTAAACCGAAATATAATAATCGCGGTGAATAGCATCTCGTGTGGAACTGCCTGATGAATAAATTCGTTGGTTCTTATCACCATAAATTGTTCTGTAGTCACTTTATGTAATTCTGAAGTCAAGACCTACTCTCTCTTTCCCTTTCCCTCTTGCTCTTTTACGCACACACGGGCACATCACACATCTTCGCGCAAAAAAGTGGTAACCATATAATTCTGTCTATCTTAATCTATTTTTATATTTTTGTCTCTTTCTCGGTTGAGTGTATGCATAAGACTCTAGTTAGTCTTTTTGCCTTAGTGTTAGCTGGAAACCTTTGCAAAGTGGCAACAAATCGGATGATATCCCAGACCGTTTTCACACGAACCTATGGAAGATGTCTCATGGATTGTGTCAACCTGAATGTCACAGGCTTTTTAAATGAGATCGACGCATGAGCCTCCCAGCAACAACATTAACTCGAGAAACGAAATGAAACCCAGTCACAACTGAGATATACTACAATAGACCGCGAGATTAATTGTGCAAATTCAAACATACTGTGCACTACTGATGAGTAGCATGCCTACTCAGGTAAAGGTTCACTCTTTCTATGCGATGCTACGAGGCCAAGGTTATTTTCTATCGCAGTTCTTAGAATCACTATTACGCTTGCCTAGCCAGATCGCCTATTATGTGGCCTGAATTTGTTTCACGAACTTAAAATATTTCTTGTAAAAGCCTGGAATCTAGGTCATGTTGCCCCGGACGACATGTGCTTTGCTTAACTATTCTAATGATAAGGCTTGACACAAGGCAGAATGTCAACAGAGGAATTGTTTCAAGAAAATACCATGAATAAATAATGGTTTTAATTTGTTCGGTTTTAAATAACAGAAATAGGTACTTTTTCGCTCGCCTCATAGCCTATTCTGTGTCCAAAAATAAAAGCTAGTCTAAAATTCTTGTACTTTGAATAAAATCTGCCTATATTCGATCATTTGAGATATTGCACTAAAGCATGCTGTTGGCATTTCGACCTAAACTCACCGAATATGTTGAAAACGTTAATTCGATCTTATTGTTAAGAAACTATGTAGATAAAATTCATGATACAGGGCGCCATAAATGCCGTCTGGTTATATGCAAATACGCAAGCTATGGGAGGTGGGCATTTGGCGAAAATAGGATGACCGTCTTAAGGGAGAGTCCCAACTCAGGAAAGTAGTTTGAGTCCATGCCAATTCCGAGGGATCTGGCAAGGTAATTTGCAAACAAATATTTAGTCCTTTTAGTTTGAGGTAAATGGATTGCGGAATAATATCGGAGTTACCTTGCTATATCGCAAGGCCTATTGGAATAATTCTGAGAAAAATGTCTTTATCATTACTAATTCATCTTGTACGATATAGGGTGACCAAGAGCCTATTTAAGAAATGCTGATAATCTCGCAACCTACTTATATCACTTGTAAGTAG